TCAAAGAAAGGGGCGCGGGGGTCGCCGCGAGAAGCACCTACAGCAACAATACTCTTCTCTGCTGCAGTAAGGCACTCCTCAAGCAGGTCAACGGTGAGCTCAGTGGGGCAAAGGGAGAGAAAGTGGTCCCTGACTGAAGAGAGAGAGTCAGGGAGACGGGTGACTAGGTAGTAGAGGGTGATGTACATGGGGGGGGGGGTTCTTGGCACAGAACTCAGTGGGAAGCGCAGCGCGGTAGCGGGTGTCACTAGTGCGGAGGTGAGCAATGAGGTCAGCGACTGTGGCAAAGGCAGCAAGGTCAGGGAACAGGTACGGCAGCATGAGGCGGCTGAGAGCAGCAGTGGCAGGGGAGGAGTAGCGCACGACAACAGCGTCATACAAAGACTTTGCAGTCTTGTACTGGCCAAACTGCGCGCGCTCAGCAGACGGCAGGTGACTACGAACAGCAAGACGAGCAACAGCGTCACGAGTAGTCCACTGCGAGCGAACCGTACTGTCAGCAGTGGGAGCAGGTGCAGGAGAGACACCGGACGTGTGATCGAACAGGGAGACTCCGTCCTTGGAGTCGCACTGGAGAAACAGCTGTAGGTCGTCTACCCAAACCTCGAAGTCAACAGCACGACCCTCAGCATCAAAGGTAAGAATAGTAGGACTAGCCATAGCTGCAGAAGCAGCAGTAGCAGCAGAAGCAGCAGTCGCAGCAGAAGCAGCAGGGGCAGGGCAGTGCGGCTCAGTAGGGCGGCGCGGCTAGACTGGGCGGCGCGGCTCGGCTGGGCGGCGCGGCTCGGCTGGGCGGCGCGGCTCGGCAGGGCGGCGCGGCTCGGCTGAGCGGCGCGGCTCGGCTGGGCGGCGCGGGTGCTTACCAGGGGCGAGTGCAGGGCAGGGCCGCAGCTGGCGATTAGGTCAGGGCCGCGGTTGGGGCGGCAGCAGGGCAGGGCCGCGACTGGGCGGCGGTAGAGCAGGGCCGCGACTGGGGCGGCTGTAAGGCAGGGCCGCGACGGTGAGGCCGCAACAGCGGCTGCAGGTGCGTCAGCGGCAAAGCAGGACCGCGACCGGTGCTGCAGGCGTGACGGCGGCTGCAGGGTGGGGCGCGACAGTGGGGCCGCGACGGTGGCGGCGATTAGGTCAGGGGCCGCGACTTGGGGCGGCAGGGCAGGGCCGCGACGTAGGGCGGCAGGAGAGGGCCGCGACTGGCGGCTAAGTAGGGCCGCGACGGGCGGCAAGCAGGGCCGCGACGGGCGGCAAGCAGGGCCGCGACGGGTAGAGGCGCGCGACGGGCAGGGCCGCGACGGGCGGCAGGCAGGGTCGCGACAGCAGGGCAGAGGCGCGCGACGGCGCAGGAGAGGCAGGCGCGACAGCGCGCTTCGGGCAGGCTAAACAGTTTCAGTGGTGGGCCCTTCAAAATAAACGTTCCCACGGAGGGAACCTGCTCTGATACCATGTCAGAATAGGAACGAATGAATGATTGACTAGCAAGCAGTTTGGGTATAAGTAGGAAACCTAGAAATGTTGTACCCCATATTGTCTACCCCACTACAGCCTACACAGACTATAGCATATATGTTTGACATGTCGGGCAAGCTCAGCGAGAGCCTCTGTCGTGGCCGTGCGTGCTTACGAGAGAGCACTTCGAGCGGCGGTGCTTGTTCGCTGAGAGACGTCTACCCCCCCCCAAAAATTGAGATAATGGGGAAGCGAAGGTGTGGGCGCGGTCCGAGAGGAGATCATAGGCTCTGAATACCAAGTGTTACGAGTGCAATTGAGTGAGCGAGCGAGAATTGCACTATCGAAGCAAAACAATGCAGTTGAGCGAAAAGCACGAGCGAAGTTATATAGCGAAGCTAGCATGGTAACGGTAATGCGGGAAATTGGGGTGCGCTACGGGCCTAGCGCCGAGGTTGGGAATTGTCGAGGCGGAGGTCCGGAGCGCGGGTTACCAACCGAACCGTGAGGTTGGGTCGCATCGTGAACAGTGGCGGGAGTCGTGGTCGAGGCGAATGTCGCGAGCGGGTAACGTTCACGGATGGGTGCCGATGGCGGGAACAGGCATGTACGCGGTAAGCAGGGACGCGAAGTAAGGAAAATGATTTTTCCTTACAGCTTTCATGTATCTAGGCACACAATAGAATTCGCTGTACACTTCGGACTTGTGCTGGTTCGCCCGAGTACGCCTCTGGTGAACCTGAAGATTTTGCCATGCCGTAATCTGTTTCGGAATCAATATATGGAAATTACCCCAGACTTTTTGGGCCAGAAACGATTGCCAACAGAGTTTCACGGCAAGCGGTCTAGGTTATGTCGGAGCCACCAAACCACATCTGACTCGTGACCACCAGTGTCGCTTTGCCACTTGGCAAGATCATCGGCTTATGTGCAGTGTAGCTGTTGGACGAATGACTCGTAAGGCGCCGGACGGGCTACTGAAACCACATCGGCTCCTTCGAGCTGGGGAACTTGATGTTCTTGTGGTTGTGGTGGAGATAAATCTAGACCTTGAAAGACGTTTGTCATTCTGTGTAGGACAACCTCCTGGAAAATGGGAAGTGGACGGGGGGGAGGTCTATCCAGTTCGAGACTCGGAAGTGATTTGTTTTGCTGCCGTAAAAATTAATGGACGGTATGGAGACTCCCTAAAATGGAACCAAATCACAGACTCTGGACCCCAGAGCCTAGGTTAGTTAGTTGGTTGTTTACACTATATGTTAGTTACAGTCGCGACATATGTTCTGTCTTTTTGGGATTGAAGCGTGTGCTCGTCAGCTTCACCATCCGCAGAAAGCTGTTGTAAACATCCACCCATCTTACCGTGTGACCCTGTGACACAGTTATGACTGAGAATGTACTATGTTCTATAGTGTATTTGCATCTACCAAAACAAATCGTACCGTGTGACTTTAGTGCAACAGTGTAGGGTGTCATGGATTATTTTAAGATTTTAATCAGGTTTACAGGCGCGAGTTCATGGGGTCTTAACCACACATTGTCAAGTTTCCAAATTAGAATCACTTTTAAGCATCGTCGGACGAGACTATAACCATGTGCTGTTTCTTATGCGAAATGAAAAAGGGCGTCTTATATGGTTTAGAACAAGCAAATTCACGAGATATTATTAGGCATCATGTGTCCGTACTAAACTTGGGTATTGACGAAAGGACGATATTGGTACTTGCGTAGTAGTACGGAATGATGGACCTTTGAATTAGGATGCTCATTTAAAATATGGTATAGTAATTATTCAAGATCCACAACTCACCAAAATACGGGAAAAACTAGTATCTTAGAAGGCGTAGACAAAAATCTTGTGCTTGACCCCAATCCGTTCAATACATCACACAACATCTATAAAGAACCACTTTGATCTCAAGACCCTACCAACTACAGTGATAAATTGCATTTGATTTTGAGAAATATACCACGAAAGTAGGCATATCTTATACTCAAATATTGCAACCAATGATTTATTTGTTTCTCCAAATTTGTAATATAAATAATAATGAGAGTTTTCCCTCCATATTATTGATATAAAACTAGAGAAACACATAAAATTGGTATAGTACTATGTTGTCAAATCTTTTTTCTTTGTACGTATCAAGTATCAATCTTTAGCAACAGGAAATGTTCTTGACGATTACTCAGTGTAGGTTTTGTTATGGACAGCTTCTGTGCTACGCACCGTGCTCCATGTCTGTCTGACATGCTCACCAAAATATCTTCATCATCACACAGGATCCCATGCTGCAGCTGAAGCGATCGCGGATGCTAGTGTTCCTTGATTACTGCACTGCACTCAGATTGGTGGAAAGCAAGCCCCAGGTTTCCATCTGGACACTGGACAGTCCTTTTGTGATGGTATGGCATTGGCGGCATCGTCCGTCTGTCCCGCGATTGGGTTTTGTGGACCTCAACCCAAGGCTTCTACCCTCCTACAGTACAGTACATCGGTCCTTAAAATATTTCGCGATTTCGCGAAATTAACGAGCTTCGCCCAAAACACGGCGAGTGTCGTAAAAGCGTTACTTTCGCCAACAACGGCCTGACAGATTTTCCCAAAATTTGTTGTGGCACGACTTTACACGCCCTTACTCCTCCCTGTAGAACCGAGAACCGCACAGTTTCACCTTAGCTGGAACTTGGAAGGTCTATCTTCCTTCGGGCTAGCTGCCTTCCATGATCCTTTCAAAGTTGAACCCCGCCGCTTCCCGTTTCGTTCTGTTTGGTTGCACCTCCTTCTGATCTTAGCATTCCCCAGGGCCGTGACATCGGCGGTCGACGGCGGCAAGCAGTCACGTACGGCGCCCTTTAATGAATCCATTAGAAGGCCCATCTGCCGATGCCGGCGACTGGTTAGCATCGCCCTACTACGCCAAGCCGAAGCGCGGCTGCTCTCTTATGGCCGCCGCTGCGGCAAGCGTCGATAGTGGAGATCAGAATTGTGATAAGCGGGATGATTGTGCCGTTGAGTCAATGGAACAGTTTACAGCGTCTCTGCAACCCGCCATCTCAGACAGGCGGTTCTCGTGCAGCGTCGTTACACCCGCGGGGCTAGCCGCGGGGAAGGGGATCGCGATTGGCGGGGGGGGCGCTGCCGCCGCAGCAGCCGCCGCTGCGCTGTCCGCCGCTGTCGCCGCCGCTGCTGCGGCCTCTGGTGAGGGTAGCAGTGCTGCGTCACTAAGGAGTCCTTCTGCTGGCGGGTCGGGATCAGCGGAACTGCGGCCTCCAGCCGCGCTGTTCTCTGTTGCGGAAGGCTCTGCGCTCGCCGCTGCGCCGTCCTCCTCCGCCTTCCCCGCGCAAAAAACTCCCACGGGTGCCGTGGCGGCAGGCGCGCGTGATCCTGCGGCCGGGAGAGCCGCGCGGACAGGCGGCGGCGGCGGCGGCGGAGATTGCAATAGTGGGGGGGGCAGGGGGATGGCGCGAACGGCGGAAACGGCGGAGTTCGATCTGTCGGTGCCTGCGAAGGCGCGCAAGTCGATGTCCGGGTCGGGCAGACGCGCGTCGCTGGACTACTCGGACCTACAAGCCGTGCGGGAGAGGTGAGGAAGGGCATGAGGACTTTCCAGAAAGGGGCGAGGGGTGGTGGGGAGGGGTGGTGGGGAGGGATGGTGGTGTGAGGGATGGTGGGGAGGGATGGTGGTGTGAGGGATGGTGGGGAGGGATGGTGGTGTGAGGGATGGTGGGGAGGGATGGTGGTGTGAGGGATGGTGGGGAGGGATGGTGGTGTGAGGGATGGTGGGGAGGGATGGTGGGGAGGGATGGTGGGGAGGGATGGTGGGGAGGGATGGTGGGGAGGGATGGTGGGGAGGGATGGTGGGGAGGGATGGTGGGGAGGGATGGTGGGGAGGGATGGTGGGGAGGGATGGTGGGGAGGGATGGTGGGGAGGGATGGTGGGGAGGGATGGTGGGGAGGGATGGTGGGGAGGGATGGTGGGGAGGGATGGTGGGGAGGGATGGTGGGGAGGGATGGTGGGGAGGGATGGTGGGGAGGGATGGTGGGGAGGGATGGTGGGGAGGGATGGTGGGGAGGGATGGTGGGGAGGGATGGTGGGGAGGGATGGTGGGGAGGGATGGTGGGGAGGGATGGTGGGAGGGATGGTGGGGAGGGATGGTGGGGAGGGATGGTGGGGAGGGATGGTGGTGTGAGGGATGGTGGGGAGGGATGGTGGGGAGGGATGGTGGGGAGGGGTGGTGGTGTGAGGGATGGTGGGGAGGGATGGTGGGGAGGGATGGTGGGGAGGGGTGGTGGGGAGGGATGGTGGGGAGGGATGGTGGTGTGAGGGATGGTGGGGAGGGATGGTGGGGAGGGATGGTGGGGAGGGGTGGTGGGGAGGGATGGTGGGGAGGGATGGTGGTGTGAGGGATGGTGGGGAGGGATGGTGGTGTGAGGGATGGTGGGGAGGGATGGTGGGGAGGGATGGTGGGGAGGGATGGTGGGGAGGGATGGTGGGGAGGGATGGTGGGGAGGGATGGTGGGGAGGGATGGTGGGGAGGGATGGTGGGGAGGGATGGTGGGGAGGGATGGTGGGGAGGGATGGTGGGGAGGGATGGTGGGGAGGGATGGTGGGGAGGGATGGTGGGGAGGGATGGTGGGGAGGGATGGTGGGGAGGGATGGTGGGGAGGGATGGTGGGGAGGGATGGTGGGGAGGGATGGTGGGGAGGGATGGTGGGGAGGGATGGTGGGGAGGGATGGTGGGGAGGGATGGTGGGGAGGGATGGTGGGGAGGGATGGTGGGGAGGGATGGTGGGGAGGGATGGTGGGGAGGGATGGTGGGGAGGGATGGTGGGGAGGGATGGTGGGGAGGGATGGTGGGGAGGGATGGTGGGGAGGGATGGTGGGGAGGGATGGTGGGGAGGGATGGTGGGGAGGGATGGTGGGGAGGGATGGTGGGAGGGATGGTGGGGAGGGATGGTGGGGAGGGATGGTGGGGAGGGATGGTGGGGAGGGATGGTGGGGAGGGATGGTGGGGAGGGATGGTGGGAGGGATGGTGGGGGATGGTGGGGAGGGATGGTGGTGTGAGGGATGGTGGGGAGGGATGGTGGTGTGAGGGATGGTGGGGAGGGATGGTGGGGAGGGATGGTGGGGAGGGATGGTGGGGAGGGATGGTGGGGAGGGATGGTGGGGAGGGATGGTGGGGAGGGATGGTGGGGAGGGATGGTGGGGAGGGATGGTGGGGAGGGATGGTGGGGAGGGATGGTGGGGAGGGATGGTGGGGAGGGATGGTGGGGAGGGATGGTGGGGAGGGATGGTGGGGAGGGATGGTGGGGAGGGATGGTGGGGAGGGATGGGTGGGAAGGGATGGTGGGGAGGGATGGTGGGGAGGGATGGTGGGGAGGGATGGTGGGGAGGGATGGGTGGGAAGGGATGATGGGTGGCGATTGAAGATGAGGCAGATCGGACGTGTTGAGGTGAGCGAGGATGTTGGGAGAGGTGGAGCAAAGAGCGAAGGACTAAGTAAGGGAGGGAGAGGAACGATGTGTGTGAGGGAGTGTGTGTTGGTGCATGTGTGCGCCCTTACGTGTGCGAATGCTTGCACGTGTGTGTGCGTGCGTGTTCTGTGTTTGTTTGTGGGTGTGGGCGTGCATGTATGTGAATGTGCATTTGTGTGTCGCGTGTGCGTTTCTTTTAGAAGTGAGCGTGTATGTCAGCATTTGTGTGTGTGTGTGTGTGTGTGTGTGTGTGTGTGTGTGCGCGCGCGTGCGTGCGTGCGTGCGTGTGTGTGTGTGGGTGGGTGTGTGTGTGTGTGTGTGTGTGTGTGTGTGTGTGTGTGTGTGTGTGTGTGTATGTGCGTTTGTGTGTGCACATGCATGTGTCTGCACATTGTGTGTCCATGCGACGCCCTTTATCGTCCCTCTTTCCTCGGTGTTAAATAAAAAGCATATTCAATGTCCTGTCTTCAAAATGCAAGCCCGTTGTCGCGATATGGGCAGGGAGCCGACCCAGCGCCGACAAGGGAAGAACATCAGAAGAAGGAGGAGGGTTAGCTGAAAATTAGTGGCGAAAGGAGACCAATTAAGGCGAGACGGAGAGGTATCTAATGCAGGAAGACGGATCATGAGTCATGACACCCTCTCTCTTGTTTTGATTTGCTACTTTTTTCCAGAGTGCAACAGGCCGCTGCCCTCTGGGCACTTGCAGAGGACAGGGAGAGGGAGCAAGGGAACCAGGCCAGTGATACGGATGATGACGATGAAGTCAGCAGCAGCAGCACGCGGGGGAAGCAGCAGGGGGAACCGGCAGCAGCACTGCAGCAATGTTCTGATCTGGTTCAACAACAGCAGCAACAGCAGCAGCACAAGTCCAGCTCAGGACTGGCTTCCCAGTCTCACCCACAGGGAGGAGGAGGAGCAGCAACGGAGGCTGGGAGTCAAGCTAGATCAAAAGGCCCCTCCCGCAGCAAAGCGGGTGCTCGAGGGTCTCTAATTCGTCGATGGCTCAACTTCGGCCGCTCATAAAGCCGGGGTCTGAAGTAAGATTTCAGTGAGCAGTAGGAAGGAAGCTGTGCACGTGGGCAAGCACCAGCAGGAACAGAGCGGGTGGCCCCTGAGTATGTAAGGCGCCAAGGGATGCTTTCAGATCAGACCGATTTGACTCCGAGGCTCACATAGCTCATGCTGATTCGAATCGGATATATCTGTTGGAGTCTTTCAGAGCGAGCCTGTCTCTAAGATGATGTAAGATTGCTCTGATCCAATGTATTTGCTGCCCGTCTCTAGTACGAGTACCACCCGTCAGTTATGGTTGCAATTCAAGTGCACCTGTCTTTTCATAGGTGTTACGATATGAAATTACATGAGTAGGCATTCCTGTATGCTGCAGGAGCCGACTCTACCGAGTACGAAGTCGAGGAGTCAGAAGAGTCGAAGCGACGCAACAACCGTCTGACCAAGACCGATGCAGGCAGAAACATTTGAAGTGAAAAGAGCGGGAACAGGTTTGAAACGGGTTCCCGCGCCGCACAGTTTGAATTTCGCTGCAATAAGGGAATGTACCCCTTAGAGTACATGGCTAGTCTAGGTCTTTTCGTATTCCCCTGTATTCTTATATAAACCCGATGTATGCATGCTTTTATCAACTCAATCATTTACATTCACTCTGACCTGAGATTCAAACTTCCGCTGCAACACTACTCTGCGATCAACCCTGAGCGATCCTTCGCTAAGTCCCACTTGGGATTGTAACATGGTATGAGAGCTACTCAGGGATTCTTCGCATAATCAATTCCTTGAATTTCGCCGAACGAAGATCTGGCGAGCGGCACACGCTCCAAGACCAAGATGGCCGGAGGATCCGGAGGCCAAACAAATCTGACGGCTGAAGGACAAACCAACCCAGCTGCGACAAATGAGGCGACAACTACGATCGGCACTGCCGCACTCGAGCAGTTATTCGCTCGACTTTCAACCATGGAGAAAGAACTCCAAGATTTGCGCAAAGGCGATGCGGGAACCTCTTCCCATCCAGCTCAACCTGGACAACTGGCAACGAAAAGCCGTGATACCGCCGCGCACACCTTCTCCCTCGACACAGACAAATCAACAACAACTGCCCCCCGTCCAAGTGATGAAGTCATTAACTCTGCGCAAGCACGCTTCCTCAGCGTCTCAAAAATCAAGACAACCGCCGCCTTCGACGGCAAGGATTTCTATACATGGAGTTTTGAGCTTGAGCTCCTCCTACAGACAGCGCAGATCTACCATTACTTCGACGGCTCCTATTCTAAACTGGTGGACGACACCGACGACGCCAGGGCTCAGTACTACAGCGAGTCCCTCATGGCGTATAGCGTGCTGCTACGCAATATGACGCCTGCAGACCAACTAAGCATCCGCTCCTACAAAGAGAGCGCCGCTCCAGCCTTGGAAGCCTGGAAGCACCTCGTTGAGGTTTATCAACCAAAGGACTCGGTTACAGCCAGCAGGCTCCTGCAGCAACTCATGGAGACAAAGATGGGGCACGGGGAGAAAGCGAATTCTTAAATTAACCGCTGTCGCAACATCCGTGACCAGATCACGAAGCATGGGAGCGCAATCTCGGAAGAGATCTTCGTCAACATAGTCCTTCAAGGACTCGGGCCAGAGTGGAAGCCCTGCAAAGCGCTACTCCGACAGCGAGGAACCATCTCTGAAGCCGCGCTATGCGCCGCACTCCTGACTGAACAGCAGGACATGGATTCGAGCAGAACAAGCTCAGCGCCGCGCCGAGAGCGCCTCGCCTTCTACGCTGACAACCGTGAAGAGCGACGGCAACCAAGGCGCCACTATCGCCACCCAAATTCCACTCACCACAACAACTGGGTCGGTCGACAAGATGCTCGTCACCCTCAGTCTCAACATCAGACACCTCGTCCTCCTGCACAACATCAACATCAGCAAACTCAAGGACCTCTATCAGGAGCTCCTAGAAACATCATCGCAAATATGACGACGCGCCGACGTCGCACTGCTGAACCTGACGAGGAAAATGAGATTCAAGGGAGACTCCTTGAACCAGAAGAGGGTTGGAATAATCCCCTCACAGAAGACCACTATTACCAGTATGACGAAGACGAGCAGGATTGGAACCAACCAATCACCTTGCGGGAGAGCCCGCCGCATGACAATCAACACTACGTACCGGTGGGATGGAAGGAGGATGAAGACCCTCTCTTCCATAGTCGCTACAAGGCGACCTTGGTGACTCCGCGACTAGCGCTACTTCTGCGCAGAAACAACACAGACAACCACAACACCTGGTACCTGGACAGCTGCTGCGGACAGCACATGGTGGGATCCACGCGATACGTCTCGAACCTGAGCCGCGCTCCCCCAACTTACGTCACCATCGCCAACAACGAGCAACTGCGCGCCAATGCGCAAGGCATCGTGGTCCTGCAAGCACGAGACAGCAACACACACATCTCGTTCAACGACGTACTCTACGTCCCAAATCTTCGTTTCAATCTCCTCTCGGCAGGACAACTTCGCGACTGCGGCGTCATCCTCACCACGGACCTCGCCACACGCGATCTTATCCTCACATACGCTCCTCCAGATACCCCTCCCGAGTCGTTCAAATATCTCGGACGAGCCCGCTCGATCAACGGAATCTACGTCCTCGACTTCGACGTACCTTCCTGCCAAGCTTCATCCGACGAGCTCGTGGACCTCGTCCCTCTCGAGTTTGCCTACGTGAGCAAATGGGAGCACCCAGACGGACGGCCATGGGTTCGCCGCAGTCCTCACCCCCGCGAAATCAACCTGCACGACCCAGACATCAATGGTCTCTGCACCACCTGCCACACACCCACGGCAAGCCGCACAGAGCAAGTCGAAAAGGAATACGCGGCAATTCAGGAGGCGGAAAGTGCCGAGGCAGAACCTACTGGCATGACACAAGGAGAACTTGCAGTGACAACTCATCGCATCTTCGGCGAACCAAACGATGACTTCGGGCAACTGCGTGTCGAACGACCGACACCATATGGAGAGACACTCCGGTTCATCCTAGAAGCTAACACCACCACCTTCGATGACGATGGACGACCACGTCCTTACACCCGCGAAGTTTACCGCCACGAAATTGACTTGGCTTGGAAGAATCCTGACGCAGCAGAAGAGCTGAGCGTCAAGGAAGAAGAAGACAAGGCACGGGCGGAGAAGAAACAGAAACTGTTTGAGGAACGTGTCGCGGCTGGATGGGATGAGGAGTCAGCACGACGAGGCGCATGGGGAGATGAGGATTACGAACCAGAAGAAGGCGCAGCCTGAGGATCCGCCACTGGAGCATGGGGAGCCAGCGCCAGCGGTACGGTCAACACGGAAGGATGGGGCAACACCGGCGGATGGGGAGGAGACGAATACGTGGACGCTCCACTCACCAAAGAAGAAGAAAAAGAGATGGAACGCGAGATGCAAGCTGAGCGCGGAGAACCATCCCTTCGTGTCGCCATTCCACTCGGTCGACCCCCGCGCACCCGCTCACCTCCCTCCTCGCCCTATCGGTGGCGTGATCGTTGGTCGGAGATTGAGGAGGGGAATGTACCAACAACTCCTCTGCGGGACTCACTTGGTCCAATCTCCCGCCCAGATCCTTTCGCGCGTTTCATTGAAGGCACCACGAATCCACTCACTATCATTCCCGACCGCGACTTTCTCGCCCTCTACCTCACAACGGCACCTGCAGAAGGGGAGACAACGGCAGAAGCAGAAGCAGAGGAGCCGGACAACGAAGCGGAACCAGGAGAAGAGGAAGAACCCCCACTCCAGATCCCGCAAGTTACGGAAGCAGAGGCAGCAGAACACTACGCTCGCTACAAGCGCACTTCCGGCATTCGCGCCGAAGATGATCTATGGCACCAGCGTCTGGGACACCCCTCACGCCAGACCCTCGCCAACTGCCTCCGCGCCAAAGTCTTTCCGCCAGGAGCACTGCTGCGCCCCGACGGAACAGAACCGCACAACACCCCTCACCCAGTCACTTGCACTGTCTGCCCCACAGCTGCGCTCTCCCACAGCGCCTACCCCTCTCTGGAGCCGAGCACCAACCGTTATAAGAAGCTGGAGAAGGTATACAGCGACTTTATCGTACCCACTTTCGACGGTATCAACGGCAAAAAATATACCCTCACCTTCATCGACGCCTACTCGCGCCATGTATGGATCGCCAACGTCGACGCCCGCTCCAAAGCTCCGGAAGTGTTCCGCATCTTCCTCGCGCACGCGCAGCGACAGTCAGGAAGGAAGCTGAAGATCTGGCAGAGTGATGGGGCCAAGGAATTTCGCAGCAACGAGCTGGAGAGTGTTCTTACCGAGAAGGGGATCAAGCATGAGATTTCTCTCCCCTACGCTCACCAGCAGCAAGGCGTCGCAGAGAGGGTTAACCGCACCCTCATGACAAAAGTGCGCGCCCTCATGAACCAGTCCGGCCTGCCGAAGAAGTTCTGGCCCTACGCCATGAACCACGCGGTGCGCTTGCACAATCTCCTCTCCACCACCGCCAACAGGGACAACCTGTCCCCTCACATGAAGTGGACCGGCTCAAGGGGAGACCCCTCCATGCTGAGGGTCTGGGGATG